GTGTGTGTGTTATACAGAGTATGAAATGTTTTTAGGCAACTTTGTCATGACTTTTATGCAAAAGTAAAAACTTGTTAGAGTGTATATTACCGCGTGAGCCGCAGAACCTCAGCCTGATAATCATTACGTTTTCCGTTCACTAACGTCGGGGAAAACGATCCAAACCATACAAGTAACCTATCAATTTAAAGCCCAGACTGCTCTTTCCAACGATATAAGTGCCACAGCTCTACATGAAAAGTTCACAGAACAAGCAGCCAAGGAAAAGCGAAAAGGGCTAATTCTGGAACTATAAACACGAATCTTTCCTTTGTTTTTATGGCTTTAATCCACTTTGGAGTGATTTTTTTCCACTTGGCTGGACCTGTACGTCTCCTGTGTTAATGTTGGTACATGTAATATGTTAATTCTGTACTGTGGAGATCATTAAGAGTCGTTGTCGAGTGAAAAAAATCTTTCACTAACACAGTGTTGCCTGCGAATTGGAAGACCGGTGCGTGGCAAAGGAATGCGGAAGTGCTCGAATCGGAAGTCCGTGGCATATAGGCTATTACAGTTTTACCTCAAAGTTGTCAATTAATCCATTTTTTAAACACCATGTGTCACATGATTTCACTTTTCTGCAGCGTGTGAGTTTACCTGATGGTGCTCATTATTGCGTAGACAATTGGGTTTCTCTCGTCCTTGGTCCTCAGCAGGAAAACATCCTCTGTTTCACATTAAGATAAACACAGTTAAACTGTTCTTTTTGGCATTTCTACAAAATCTGTTGTTCAGTAACCAAACCATGCAAACAACGTGCTGCTGAAACTTATTAAATATACACGCAAAAAGGCAACTTCTCATTGAAACGCTTTGCATGTGATACTTCTGCTCACCAAGCTGGTTGAAGTGTGTGTCGATGCCATGCGGTCCTGGTACAGAACAGACCAGTCTGGCTTTTATGAAGGTGCTCCACTTATTGACCAGAACTCTTTGGCCTCCAACATCATTCTGGCAAAAAAAAAAAACAACAACAACAAAAAAAAAAACAATCCAATAAACACAGTTGGGTATGTATTTCTCAACAAACTTCAGTATGTTTAATAAATTTCGTAGATTGACTATTTCAGCACACTGGACTGAGGACAACTCCAACTTTAGCTAGTGTTACACCCCAGTAACATATTTTCCTACTATGATAAAGTAAGAAAATACCTGCATATTTTCTTTGCTCAGCCAAGGCATTTGAAACAATTTTAAAGGAGATAAGTGAGTTTATTTTTTTTTAATTTGAGGTAACAGAGTGGTTATTTCACAAGCAGAACCAGAGTTAAGTAAAAAAAAAAAAACAACAACTTTTGAATGTAGTACAGAACTGCCAGAGCACAAAAGGAAACTATTGAGTAACTGCTAACATCTGCAGCTTTGGATCATAGATTTAATACATCCTAATGTTAGCAGTTAAGTATTTAATTACCTCAGGCCCCCAGATCAAACTCTACCTAATAAATTTTAGGTTGACTCTTAATTTAAAGCTAAATGATGTCCAGGATGAAAGGCAAAGACAAAACCGAACACCACATTTTAAGAAGAAAATAAGTGAATGGGGTGTAAGAGAGAGAGAGAAAAGAGAGGAGAGGATCTGGAGATGAAGAGGAGTTTAAATTGAGAACAAGTAACTTGGATTTAGGAGTTAATTCAAAACATTTTCACAACCTTCAACTTGCAGCTGTGCACATCAGTATGTGTAAGGACTGATTCATGTGGATTCTTTTATGCATACCACTTGTGTGTGGTTCTCACAACACATATTGATGCGTGAAAGAATGTTACTGAGTTTAAGCTGATGGAGATTTAGGTTGGAAAAGTTGACAGCTGCATGCAGTTTGGAAAGAAATGGGATTTATCACATACAGAACACGACACCTCTGCAGTCCTTGGTTGGGGGGGGGGGGTAAAAATGACTTTATAGGAGATTTGTCTTTTCAACGAGAGCGCTTGCTGGTGTCACATTAAACAGATTAACGCTTTAACACATTATCTCCTGTCCGACAAAGTTATACCCATAAAGTAAGAGAGCTTTTAAAGCTAATCACAGCTGTGGCTCGGTTCACTTTTTTATAAGAAAATCCCTCAGTGAGTTCAACCAACTGCTGCAAAACAACAAAACACCTAAAGGGTTAAAACGGGGCTAATTCGATTAAAGCAGCTTGAAACATTGATCATTTACTGCATTAACAAGAGAAAACCCTGTGATAAAGTATCTCACCGCACACACTCGTCCAACTCGTGCATGTATGGCCTCCTCCCTGTCCCCCGCCTCTGAGGCCTTCTCATTGAAGAAAAAATACACTTTGTCATTGTCCCGGTCATCGTTGTCCGGGATCAGGTGGGCTGCAACAAACCTGGGGTCTGAGGGTGGGCAAATGGGAGGATGGGAAATGTTGCAGAAGAGAGTTACCAACAGAAAGAAAATAATTCAAATTAATCTTGTAAGGCTTTACAGCTAACAGGGAAAAAAATGATGCCAGCAATACAGTTGCATATTTTCACCTACAGTATATGGGACAGAATTTACCAGGTGATAAAAAATATCATAAGAAATATTACTGTTCAGTAGTTTCTGATCAGTCTCTGTCCTCATGGTGGTGCGACCTCCCATGCTCCTGATGATTACAGAGTCTCGTCCAAGAAAATCTGCTGTCAGTCCTGTATACAGCTCTCCCCCTGCAGACAGACAGAGCAAATATAGTGATATAATATAGTAAAAATGGATTTTAAACTGTTTAAATTAATCTTAACAAAGCTGAAAAACAGATAAGTGGAATAAATAGTTCAAATAAGCTCGTAAGACAAAAAAAATTAGAATTAGAATTATAATATGACTTTAAAGGGGGGCTATTATGTATTTTCCCGGCACACAGTTCTGTGCAAAAATCAGGGAGTTTGTGTAAGTAGGTGGAGCTTTGTATCAGGAAGCATTTAGGCAGCTCCACATGGCTGCCACAGGAGATTCAAGGATTTCTCAAACATGCATGAATGAGTCAGCAACACTCTGTGTATGTTTTTTTATGAGGGAATGACATTATAAAATGATGTAAATCTTTAAAAAAAAATGTCAATTTTGCATAATACACACCCCCTCACACTTTTTAAGGAAATTAGGGATGACATGAACATTTGTGGTTTAAGCAAATGTAGAAAAGCAGAAAAGAAGAAATTTAACAAATCTGACTCATAGAGTTAAATAACAGCAATACCAATTAAATACCTTAATTATCTGAACATACTGTACCAAGGAAACTGAGCATTTTGAAACTCAAACATTCTTCTACCTACACAGCAGTGAACAAACATTCCCTTTTCCAGGACTAAGAATACTCCTGCAAGTGGAAACAGAACATCAGATATTTCCTTTGGTATTTTGGTTTTGAGATACATTAACATACCTATCAGTTATCTGTCAGATAAGACATCCGTCTCCACCGACTTGGAAAATACCCAGGAAAAAAACCTCAGATCTTAACACTCTCCCGTCACCTAACAATCGTAAGAAAGCTTTTCTCTGTAAACTGGTTTTTGACTTTCAGCTGGTTTTAATTTTTTTTCCAGCAAAGTCGAAAACGGATCCGATCACGGATTGCTCTCTCCTGCGACATCGTAAATTTTTTTAAAAAGTCTTATTTTATTTGGCAGCAGTAACTATCAGAACCTCATCCTTCTTCATATTACAAACACACAATCAAACTGGACCCATGTGTGAAATTATCTCCCAGGAAATATATTATAAACAGATAGACAGTGTAATAAGTGCTGACAGAACCTGGAGAGTTGAGCTTTGCATTTTGTTGGATCGAAAACCTAAAAGAAAACATAGTTTAGGTTGATCATTGAAGAGGAGGACTTTAATTGATTTTTACTTTATCATTATTGCTTTTTTCTGTTTATCGTATAGAGACAGAATGTGTTACTTAGAGCTATACTTACTTTATATTTATGTTCTTCAATTATTGTAATATTTTTTTCCTCAAGAATAGCCTATTTTATGCTAAAACAAAGTACAAGAAAGCAATAAAAGTCATTCTGTTTTTTCTGATATAGTTCTATCATGTTAAAAGCCATAAATAGGTCAGTGATCAGATGGAAAGTCAATAAAATTCTATAAAAAAGTTGAATTTGATCTGTGTTTTCATTTGATACAACTTTGCTGAGAGAAGCCAGGGAATCTGCTGAGTGAGCGTTTTGTACTGACGTGACATCCCTTGGACACACATCACTTTTTTCAGGGTTTACAGTTTAGCTCATTGGTGTCTGTGTGGACCTCTCTATGTTAGTCTGAACCAAACCAAAAACGTCCTGCATCCATGTGGCCACTGTATATCACAGCCAAGCTCCAAACTACTAAATACTTGGCTCCAAATGTAAAGTTCTCCTGCCAAACACAAAGCACAGAGGGAGAATTTCTGTAACTGGAATCACCCAGCTGTGGAGAAACGATGAGATGTACTGTTTATACACACCATCCATGCCTCCGCCCTTAAAAGAGTCCCAAGATCCTCTGTCACTGGCATAAATCTAGGTTATTTCACAAGCTACAATAAATACCTGATGACACCAAGAAAGAAACACCCAGGACTTTTTGTTTTAGTGAGCGCAGGTCCAAAGAGTAAGTGTGTGTCAACGTCAAAGAAGACATTCCAAGCAGCTATTAGAAAGGTTGTTAGTAATTTAAGCTACACAAGAGGTCTATTTAAAAGAACAGAAAGTACATGAAACAATTAGTTTTGCCAAATCAGCACCATAAACAAAACAAAAGAAACGTACCGCTGAAGGTGCTAGCAAATGGGAAGTTGGGGTCGTGTGGAACCTTTCCTCGTCCGCTCTCCACGTTCTTTGGATCCATCGTGAACACATGCTGAGATAGAAAGAAAAAAAAGGTCAGTGTTACATTTAGTTGATTCCAGCAGGTGGTCTCTGAGGAAGGACCTATCACTTTGACATTTTAAACTTTACCAGAAATGTTAGAAAGATCAGCTTGCTCCATGTGATTCAGATTACAGAGCTGAAATTAATTGCAGAATCATATTTTCTTCATCAGTTCTTCCAAGTGGAAAATCTTTTTCCTTTTAACTCTACAAACGGTCAGCCCACCGCAGCACCTGATACTGATTATCTTACTTAGCAAAGGTCAACAGGTAAGGCCGTGCAGTAAATCAGCCGAAGCTGTTATTGTAATTACACTAACTGCAAGGTCAGTATGCCGACTCTTATTCACACAAATAAGGCAATCTGGGTCTTTTAAAATGTTTTTTCGTTCATTTTTCTTTCAATTTATTCGTCCTTTCACCGAACTTCTGCTTGTCTGAGAACAAAAGCGTTTTCTGAGATAAGAGGAAATTTGGGATCATTGGAGCTGCCAGATCCAGGCAAGTTTCTCACTCGGTTCCCAGAGCAGATCAGTTCCCAGAGTCCCGGATGCAGAGGAGCCAGACAGCTAATAAAAAGAAACACAACAAGTACCACTGCAGTCAAATTCTAATTAAAACGTAAAATTTAGTGTTTTAAACAAAAACAGAATGCTGATAGTTGCTGGCTTTATTACGTTTCTAGAGACCACGAAATTCTATTAAACTCTGAAGACCAATAACAACCCCCCCCCCCCC